AGCCGACTTTTACCAGTATTACTTTGAGAACCGTGGCTGCAACTAGCCTCGAGGAGGTCAAAGCACACCATCACCTCTTCCTCTCCTACACTGGTATCAAACTTGGTATGGGGCAACGTATTGAGTACGTGCGTGGTGGCGGAGATGCGAGAAGGCTGACATGGACAAAAGGCGTGGTGCCATGGCACACCACCACCTTTTACTTCACCCAGTAGAGTACAATGGTGGCGACTATTATGATTCCTGCTGCTTGGCTTTTGGCCGAGCCTTGGCCTGTTCCGTGCCATCCAGATACATACACTCAACGGGCGTGGGCTAGAGAGGAAGGAGCTGGCTTCCAGCAGAAACTGCTATTAGAAAATATACAAATTGCCGCATTGCGTTGGGGGCCATGTCGCAGCAGTTTCCGGCCTTTACACGGTGGTTTCAAAGTGCAGAACTGAGTAATGTCTTGTTCCGCTACGAATCTGGGGAAATAATAAATAATACCAAGTAAAAAGCTCCGAATCAAGCTAAAAGAGGTTCTCCAGAGCTGCCACAATTAGTCTGTACGGTATTCACGTGGCAGGCCAGAGCTAGCAGAATCTGAGCCAGAGCTTTAGCTATAGGTAGCCATGATATATGTGCAATGCATAGGCCATGGCCGGATCACGGATCACGGGTGCCGACTCGGTCATCAAGTGACTTACAGTCGCCACTCCCACACGGCGCTGGGTCCGGGACGGAGGTGAGCGGCTTGGTACCCTTTGCCAGTTAGACATGACGCCACCGACGACGACGCCCTTGTGCAGGGGTCTGTAGCATAACTAGCCCTGGTGTAGACGACGCCATCGTCGAGTGCATAAATCTGGCTACGTTGACGCCTTGTGAAGTGGAGGGCAAGGGAGCTGCAAAGACAACGGCAGGCTGTGGCAGTGTGGGATGTATTGGCAAACTGGGCCTGATGTTGACACTAAGCCACAGTTTAGCTACCTAGTTTCTATGCAGACTCTATGGCGGAAGGTGAAATGGAATCATTGAAAATACAGATGGGAAAAAGAAACGAAGGTAAACGAAAAGAAGAAGCAAAAAAAAAAAAAAAAAAAAAAAGGAAAAAAGAAATGTAATTTGTGAATGCTTGACCAGGGCAAATCCAAGCTCAGCCTTTCGGTACGTGTAAACCAAACAATTTGTCTCTGTTGGTGGCATTGCAGCGACTGTTTACCCTGCATCGCAGCTTGGCATCGTTATGTCGGTGGCGCAGGGCAGCAAGCGGTGCTACAAAAGTACAAGACCGCTCGCTTGCTTAAAGAGCGGTCATGTCTTGTACGACCGCCTAACGAGAAACAGTGAACAAGAGCAAAAAGACAAAAAGGCGGCTATTTTTTTTTTTTCGGTCACCAAGCACAGAGAGGTAGTACCGTAGTACCATGCAGCCATGCAAGAGGTACCTTTTGGGAATCATGGGCTTTGCTCGGTGCCGTTGTCGCACAGGACGCCCATCATGTTCGTTTGCGTGTGGCGCATGCTCGTCATCCAGCGAACACGGTCGCGTCGTACATGGGCGATGGTCATACCCCCTTTTCTCCTTTTCTACATTGTATTCATAGGTACGGATCCGTAGAGACGGCATTTCGTCTCTCGCGTTCTTTTTTTCTGGGGCATCAACGTCTTACTTGACTAGACAGGCGCTCGCGATTATTATGCTGGCCGACGGTTGTGAAATGCTGCGCGTCTGCCAAACCCCCGGGTTTTGTCTTGATGAGTCCTGACTCTCAAGACACTCAAGACAAAAGATGGGCGATTCGTGCGAAAAAAGGGCATTGATCAAGTACGTGCATGCATGTACTTTGTACCCAAACCCCGACCTTGGCTTGGTCTAAAACGACTGAGCGCATGTCAAGGCTGGCCATGGACGTAAGAGAGAATGACAAGGGCATCTTTCCTTTCAGTCAGGTTTTCATAACAATGCAACGTGGTGTTGTTATTCCCCTCCCTTTGACTTGGATCTATTTGATCAAGACCATTGTTGTAAGACAAGACACCCCGAGAGACGAGGAAGAGATGAAAACACTTGCATCACAGTTGACCGACCGGCTTTATGGAGGTGGTCGGGGCGCGCTGCCACCTGCGTTCTAATCCTGGCTAGCACGACGACGCTCGGGACAATCAAACAGATCGTTTTGTCGGGGTAACAGAGGGGAAGTTGAGCTTGCATTCTCTTGCAATCCAGCTACTACAAGAGCAATAGAGCAATGTGACATTCAGAAACCAGACGAGAGGCCGGTGCGGTCTGCACTGCTGCCACCTCTCTGTAAAATATGTATCTCGGTGTAATATCTAGACCGAGAAAAGGAAGAGGGATGTGGCTAAAATAATCGTAGCATTGGATATATTGGGGGGACAGGTATTCCAGACACGAGGTGCCCAGCTTCAGGTCTCGCCGACTTGCATGATCGATCCGGGGGAAAGAAGGAAAAAAAAAGAAAGCACAGCATTGCAACGTTTCCTTTTTGACTAGGTATTCCTGCACTTTATTCGATACCCTGGTTTCTTTTCTCCCCGACAACAACAACAATAATTAATCAACTTTGTTGCTGCCAACATTATTATTACTTGACCAAGACGACATACAATGCGTTGTTATGCCCAGCAGCCCTTCCCTAGCTCGCCATCTACACAAGACAGAACAAAGAGTCAGTTGTTTTATGCCGACTGGACTGATGTAGTTGGTTTGAGAAAAAAAAAAAAAAAACGGCGAGAAAAGAAGTTATCTGAAAAAATTGCCAAGTTGGCTTTATACTCTGTTTCCTATTGCCGTCTGTCTTGTCTGTTTACCCGTTTGTGGGGAGAGGGGGGGGTAGGTTGCTTGTTGTTGAATGGCCCCGGCCGGCAAGGCGATGGTACTAAAGAGAGAGGGATAGGGAGAGAGCAGAGACGCATCGTCAGCGGTGTCATGCCTAGGAAAAATTGGACGAGAAAAGAAAAAAAAAAAAAAACAAGAGGGCCAAGAAAAAAGAGAAGCGCCAGAAATTCTCCCGACATCATGCAAGGCACAATGCACAATGGGCAGCGGCAGAGCTCGGCGGCTCGACTGGTCAGCAGCTGCTGGCACCGTTGGGTGTTGTTGCCCAGGCCGGCGGCTAGCAATGGACCACTTGCACTTTGTACAGCGTTGCCCACAATCAATCAACCACCTTTTTGCTCTTCGTCTCTTTCTTTTTCTTGGTCTTCTTTCTAGTTATTTGAAAAATTAATTTTAATCTTTATTCATTTATTTTGGCGGGCTCAACGACACGCCCCCCATTTAGTCCGTCCGCCCCCCCTGGGACCTGGACCGTGGGCCTGGACGCACGCCCCCCCGGCTTCGCACACGCACTGGCAAAAAAATGGTTCCAGGCAATCTCCTGCGCTCTGGGGCCTTTTTTTTTATTTTTATTTTATTTTAATTTTTTTATTCTCCTCTTTCCACAGTTCTCGCTCTGATGAATCAGTGATTGTGGATGTTGCACCGGAGAAGAGGTCCAGAATAGTCCAGTAGGTAGGTAGTGATGGCAAGCTCTTCAATGCCCAAGTCAGCCGCAAGAACGGGCTACAGCCAACGCGCAGCACCCGTTTCGATACATACTTTTGGTACCTGAATAGTGCAGCCAAGCCTCCCACACGGCCACATTCGCACCTATTCTTTTGCTCTACAGTGCTTAAGTGAGTGCTAGAGTCACACAATGAATCTTATAAATTTAGGTGCTTGGGTGAGGGCCGTGTGAAGTGCTGACTGAGCAACAACTGCCCTCTCTCGGCCGTCCCTGACTTGTGGACCAAAATACCTCCCGTCCTACGATTTTACCCAAGCAAACCAGGTACCCGCCCACACCATCTACCCACTCCCTCCCACTTCTCTCTCGCTCTTTCAACTCCCAATGGCAATGACTAGCACCGACTGGCTGGCCCGCCCACACCTTGCCCTTCCCGCCCGTCGCCCGCTTTTTTTTTTCGCCGGTGTTTCTTCGCTTCTCTTCTCAAATGTCTCTGGCGCCCATGGACCCGGCCCATGGCCCTTGCAAGAGCCCTTGCTTGACTGGCCCTCTGTCCTCCTCTCGCGCTCTCCCTCCGCTACCACGCTACCACGCTACCACACTACCACGCTACCACGCTACCACGCTGCCACCTCTACCACTGCCTATATCTCACCTCCCTCCCCCCACCCCCTCTTGCTCTTCTTCCTCCATCTTGTTTCTTCACGGGCTTCCTTTGTTGCTCTCTCGCGTCTTCTCTTCAATTTTCCCCTTCAGGGCCCGGCTGTCCCATTTTCTTCGTTTCTTCTTATTTATTCTACCCTCTCTGTCGCCTTCGCCTTGGCCGTCCTCGCTACAGCCCTTTAGCGCTAACATTGTCTTCCTCTCTGGCGCCCTCTCTAGTTTCGTTCGATACAAGCTAGATTGCCTTTTCCTAACGGCCTTCTTATCCAACCGTCGCGCCACAGACACGATTCTCCGACCGGGTTGACTGTTTCACTTCTATTCCCAATTCTTTCACGTCGGCTTCATTTGCACGCTTCACTCCCAGTAGTCCGATACTGCGTCGATCGATTCCGCCTCTGTTCGCGCCGTCAGCCCCCTAAGCCGCCGCCCACGAAATTATCATCGCGTCACCTCCCAACAGTTTGCTTGAAGCAGTTGTTGGGCTGTCTCTTGTGCTGCCTGTTGCATCTTTCTCTGCATCACGACTTTTTTTTTCGGGCTGGTCTCGAAATTCACCTTTCTCCTTTTTGTATTTGCGCCACTTCATCTCGGCTCCGGAAGCGCCCTCTCCTCACGGCCTAATCCTTGAGCGCTTAACCGCCAACGCCACCATCGACCGGACTGTGTCCGATTTCCCTCAAAACAACTCGCTTTTCGACCTTTACGACGAACGGCCAAGACTGCGACGCGATTTTAAACGTGTTTCGCTTCTTTCCCACCCTTTTCAACCCTTGTTAGGCCCCTGCGCAACGGCCATAACAAATCAGCTTCTTGCGCAACATGTACTCACAACATCCCGGAATGGCAGCACCTCAAAAACCTGAGACCTTCATGCTGAGCACGGAGGCTCAGCAGGCACTTCCCCACGATGCACAAGTTGCCCTCCAGCAGGTCGACAACCGTACGTACCCTCGCGCACCACACCTCTCTCTGACCGCTCACATCCTTTCTAGTGAAATACTTTCTCATCTCTGCCCCTGTCGACTGGCAACAAGACCAATATATTCGCCGCTTCTTGCTTCCTACCGGCGAATATGTCTCTTGCGTTCTCTGGAACACCCTCTTTCACATCTCGGGTACCGATATTGTCCGCTGCCTGTCCTTCCGATTCCAGGCTTTCGGCCGTCCCGTCAAAAACTCCAAGAAGTTTGAAGAGGGCATCTTCTCCGATCTGCGAAACCTGAAGTCTGGCACCGACGCCTCTCTCGAGGAGCCCAAGAGCCAATTTCTCGACTTCCTCTACAAGAACAATTGTATTCGCACCCAAAAGAAGCAAAAGGTCTTTTACTGGTACAGCGTTCCTCATGACCGCCTCTTTCTCGATGCTCTTGAGCGCGATCTCAAGAGAGAAAAGATGGGCCAGGAAGCCACTACGGTCGCCGTCAGCGAGCCTGCTCTCTCTTTCCAGTACGATTCTTCACAGTCGCTCTACGAGCAGTTGACCAAGACACAGCAAGTCAACTCGTCGTCTTTCAACGCTCAGCACTCTACATTTACACAGGGTCAGACTGCGTCCCCCGTCATCAAGGCCATGGATACTATGCCTCCTCCCAACATGATGCCCCAGCCCATGGGCCACATGACCGAAACCATGGATCCCATGGGTCACTATGACGCCGTCGCCATGGGCCCCGTTGCTCCTCCACAAGTTGCTGCTGTCAAGCGCGAGCCCGACTATAGTCGAGTCCAGTACAATCAAAACGGCATTCCTGTCCATGGCCACCAGCGCCATGCTTCGATGCCCGCCTACGGTCTCGAGTATTCCCCTGCCCCCTCGTTTGTATCTTCGCAGTATGATGACTACGGCAACCGCGGTTTGTCCTTTGAACCCATTACACCTCCGCAGCAGGCTCTTGGAGTCTCGGCTGAACCCGCCTACATTGCCAACGAAGAGACTGGCCTCTACTCGGCCATTCCTGATCATCTTTCTGGTATGAATGGCCTGAACGGCATGGTTCAGCTTCCTCCGTCCACCATGGCCGGCCATCAGTTCAACCGCTCCTACGGCAGCAACAATGTTTACTCTGTGATTGAAGGCTCGCCTACTTACAAGCAGAGAAGACGCCGCTCCTCTATCCCCCCTGGCATGAATGCCATTGCCGCCCCTCCTCCAACAAACCCCAACGCTCCTCATAGACCTTCTGACCTCCGTCGATCTATTTCTGTTTCCGTTGGTCCCGTTGCCGAGGGTGAGGAGTCCGAGGACAACTCTCCTCCTGGTCTTTCTTTCAGCACTGCCATGTCTATGAACAAGCACAAGCCCATGGATGACTTGTCAAGACACGGTACCCCTCTCTCGACTGTCGAGTCCAACTCGGGTCTAAACCCTCTTGCTCTCCAGCATAGTTTTGGAAGCGATGATATGTCTGCCAGCGGTTCTTTCCAAGAGCATCGTAGAACGGTCTCTGGGCCTGCTGGAGTCATTCGTCGCGCTCGCTCTGCCACTGTCATGGAAGTCGGGCCTTATCCTCACAAGTCACACTCATGCCCCATTCCCACCTGTGGTCGCCTCTTCAAGCGTTTAGAGCACCTGAAGCGACACGTCCGTACCCATACACAAGAAAAGCCTTATGTTTGTCCCCAGTGCAACAAGGCCTTTTCTCGCTCAGACAATCTGGCGCAACACAAGCGCACACACAGCCGTGAAGATGGCGCCGAAGGCTCTCTCAACCTCTCTGCTGAAGAGGAAGAAGAGTATTCTGGCGAGGAGCCCCTGGGGTCTCTCGGAGAGGCTTCTCCTTCATCAGAAATGGCTTACATTACCGGTTCTCTCCACGGCGAGGTCAGCCAAAACGGCATGGCTCCCCCTTCATCCATGCCCACCTCGTCCTTCAACAGCCTGCAAACGCTAAGTATGCCCATGACGCTTAGCCAGCCATCGATGATATAACACACCCGTACCATCTTTGCTTCTTTCATGATTTCTTGTCCATCTATCCAGCAGCTTTGAAGTAACGACTCACCTTCATTCGCTTGCGTTTCCACGTCACTTACACAAGTTTTCCTTCTTTTTTTTTTTCTCTCTCTTTTACTTTTCTCCCCATTTATTTACCGTGTTTCAATCTGCGATCGATTTTTCGTATCCTTTCATGTTTAAATGCCTTCTCTTCCTTTTCTTTGGAAATTGAAACATGTCGGCGGCTGATAGACAAAGACCTTGCTTGGGAAACCATCTGTACAGTATGCCTCGCTGAAGGGAGGTGCATCTGGATGCGGTAATGGGCAAAAGACCACAAGGCGCATTGTACATATATGTTGACTACTTTCTCTCCTTTTTCTCTTCTTTAGCTAGCGAGGATGGCTCTTTGGGACGGCTGTTTGCTGCAATGCCACGTATACGGCTGTAATCGAAACCAATGCAAAATATCCAAAGCTATTTGTCCCGATGAACCACAGTGTGATGCACGACGTTTGTTTCTCGCCTGTGTAATGATATTTCACCGTTGTAGATGGTGATTGCCTGTTGTAAATGGTAGTTACCCTGCGCCTATCGTATATGCATATCAAGTCTTGCCGACCTCTGGCCCCAACGTGCCTTGTTGTATTTCCACTACCGCCGACCTCGTCTCCCGAATGTATCTCTGCTCCCCTCAATCCTTCTCACGTCGCCCTCGCTGATGCGCAGCTCCGCGCCCCTCATGCGCCCGATCCCCGGTCCATGCACACCCCTCTCCTGCCTCGCCCTGCTTCCCTTTTTCTTGCCGTTACCGCTACCGCTACCGCTATTGCTACCGCTCCTCTCCAAGATGATGCCATTCTCCTTGGCCTCGCGCCTGCGCCGCTCCTCGCGCATGCGCGCCGCGGCCACGATGCCCTTGCGCATATTCATTGGCATCTTTTCCTGCTTGAGCACCGACGTCTTTGCCCCGAGCGCCTGCAGGCGGAGGTCGGTGGTCTTTTGTCGCGTGCGGCCCGAGGCAAACGCCTTTGGCTCAAGTGATGATGATGATGATGATGAGTCCCCCCCGACGACGGACGAGGAAAAGACGGAGCGGGAGGCGGCGTTGTTGTGGGAAGGGGTGAGAAGGTGCGATTCGGAGAGGAGACGTCGAAGTTCGAGGTCCTGCGCAATGAGGGAGGGCGCGTCCTCGGGGAGGGCTTTGGCGGGCTTGGCGGAGGAGGAGGAGGAGGGTGTGTCGGTGGTGGTGGTTCGGGGGGCGGTGTGGTCAATGACTTTGGAGGACTGAATGCAAAGATGTTAGAGCCACTGGGTTACGGGGTGAGGAGGTTTGTGTGATATGTGTAGCCTACCATGAATGCTTTGAGCTCTTTTTTGCTCATTTTGGGCTCCTTGGGCACCTGCGGTTTCGAGTGATCAATGACCTGCACAGTCGGCGCTTCGTCCTCGTGCTCGTCCTCGTACTCGGCACCGTCCCCTTGCTCCTCTTCGTCGCTAGAGAACCCGCCCCATTCGTTGCCGTCGCCATCGTCTTCGTCGTCGTCGTCGTCTTCGTCGTCGTCGTCGGATCCGCCGTTGAGGTCCGAATCGACCGCGTCGTCGTCGTCCTGCTCGCGCTGCGCTCGCGCCGCCTCGTCCTCGTCGCCGAGCGGCTCAAACTGCGCCTCAAAGTGCCGCCGGAAAATGGCTTCGGCGTCGAGCTCAGAGACGCCGTCCGACGGCGCTTCGTTGCGCGATTTGCGCTTGCCGAGGACTGCCATGTTATTGGAAGACGGGTGTAGAGTGTGAGGTTGGGTGGGAAAATGGCAAAATGCTTGTGGTGTTGCGACACATCTGGCGGTGGTGGAAACTTTTTTTTTTGTGACGTCTATCGATAGCGTTGGCGATTGGCACCCCACTACCAAAAGGCTGTGCTTCAAAAAAGCTGCAACGACTTCTCCGAGCACATTTTCTATGGTAATATTTAATTTGATGTATCTGGAGCTTCTGATTTGTATTTACGCCCGCCTGTCTGAGAATTCATGAGACTGTTGTGGTGGCTTGGCAGTCTATCCTGTACTAGGTGCCATTCATACAGCACCTGTCCTCGACGGCAATGCCCTTGACTTGTTTTGTTTAACCAAATAATGCATTCTAGCAGGGCCCAGCTGAATAATTCCGGGTTCGGGTTAAGTAGTGCAATGACGCTTTCCGCTGTGAATATCAGCCCTTTGAGTATTTGGCACGCGCCCTCGCCAGCTGCAGCATCAGCATGCGCAGATGGCTCGCTCAGGATCTCGTGGGCGACGCGGCGTAGACTTCTGCGGTCCGGATGAGATGGGGAGTTGTGCTGGAGAAAGAAAAAGACCTCTGGCGAGTCTCTATTCCCATTCCGCTCGTTCACGTCCGCCCAGACATACGCGCCCGCCGTGAGTCCTCCTCGCGAATCGCCTGGCTGCGCGCCAAAAAGTCTTGCTTCGCCGCGTACGAGTGTTTCGAACGTCCCGCGAGCGCCAGCTCGTCCTGAATGCCCTCCTTGTCCACGTAGCCCGCCCAGTCCATGCGGCTCTTCTCCACCGTCGTGAGCTTCTTGGCAGCCTGCAGCTCCTTGGCGGCTTGCAGGCGCGCCGCCATGCCCAGGTTGAGATCAAGCCGGCGCGCGGCGTCGTCGCCGCCGACAAGGACAGGCTCAAAGGCGGAGCGAAAGGCCTTGCGCGTCGCGCGCTTGGGCGGTGATGCTTCAGCAGCGGCGGCGGCGGCGGCCTGACCTTCCTCAGAGGCGAGGTACAGCTTGGCTTCGGCGGAGTCGCGCGCGACCATCTTCTCTTCGGTGTGCACCTTGCCGGCAAAGTTGTAGGTGCGCTTGATTTTGATCATTTCGGATGGCTCGACTTTACTTTCGGCTTCGGGGGCATTTTCGGCGGCTTTCAACTCGCTGGAAGTTGTTTCTTTGGTCGTTTCGGGGATAATGGGTTGACCGGAAAGCATCTGCTTCCAGATGGCATCGACATCGACCGTCACCGGATCTGTGTTTGGCGCATATCGTCGTTCTTCCTTTCTATGGGCATAAGTCAGTCGAATTTCTTAAAAAGTTCACTGAACTTCCTACTCAGCCGCCCGTTGTGCTCTAGTTTTGATTAATCCACCATCGCCGCCCTCTTCGTCTGCATTCTTCGCTTTCTTCAACCTCTTCTTGCCCTTGCTGATGATAGCCTCATCTCCTGAATTCTCGTAGACAACATCATATTCCGCGGCGGCGGCAGCATCGGCATTATCCTTGCTTGACTTTTTCCGTTTCCGCCCTTCATCGTCCTCGTCGTTCTCGTCGTCCGAGGATACCACATTAGGTTCGCCATCGGGCGCAAAGTCGGAGTCAATGGCTGAGTCGTACTGCTCGTCTTCCTCCTCCATGAGAGTATCGGTAGCCATACTAAACAGCTAAATCTGGGAGACCTGCCAGTTGAAAAGTGCGAAAGAGCGCTGTGGTTGCGAGACGTGTGGTGGATGCGGGTTCGATGTGCTAATTATCTTGGACCCAGAACTCGGATGTTTGCCGGGTTCCACACACCACCCAAACGGATTCCCAGGCGAAGGTGCCTGATCCAGGCCGCCGCCACGGCACATCCGACCACTTTATCTCCTTCACAACTCCTCGTCACAGGCAGCTTTCTCTTCTTCTCCCCTCACTTGTCGCGCGCCTTCTATCGCTGTCTAACGAGTCGCCGCCGTCACCATGTCGAGCGAGGATTACGAGGTCGAGATTCCGGAATTGGCAGCGGATGATCCTATGCGAGCATTCCTGCCAGCGGCTTTTGGAAAAAAGGATAAAGCGATAAATATCGCGGCGCAAATCGACAAGAGCCGCAGGGTGGTTACAAATCCTACAGCCTCGCATCAGCAGACAAAAAAGGGGGGCAATTCTAGTTCAGACGACAGCGACAGCGACAGCGACAGCGATTCTGATGATGGCGACGAATATCCAGTCACTCATGAGATGGTGATTGCAACGGCTAGCCGTGCTGTAACCACCGTATCTCTCGATCCCTCTGGCGGCCGACTGGCGACGGGCTCGACCGATTGTACCGTGAAACTCCACGATTTCTCGTCCATGACACCCACAACAATTCGTGCCTTTCGAACAACAGATCCATTCGAAGCCAAGGTTACAGACAACGCAGAGTCGCACCCCATTCACCACATCGAGTTCAATCCACAAGCTGGCAGCGCTCTTCTTTGCATCTCGGCACATCCGCAAGCCAAAATTTTGTCTCGCGACGGTGAAGTGCTGACCACATTTGTCAAGGGCGACATGTACCTGCGAGATATGCACATTACAAAAGGCCATATTTCGGAAATCACTAGCGGCACATGGCATCCCACGGATAGAAATCAGCTTGTCACAGCGGGTACGGACAGTACTTTACGAATTTGGGACATCAATTATAAGCGATCGCAGAAGCAAGTCGTCGTATTCAAATCAAAAGCAGCAGGCTCAGCTGGACGGTCGAAACTGACGGCCGTTGCGTGGGGAACATCGGCACAGGGTGGCAGCAATGTTCTGATCGGAGCTGCATTGGACGGGACGCTGGTCATGTACGGTGGCGATGGGCCATTCTCAAGACCGGCTGGAGAAATTTCCGAAGCGCACAAGCCGCAGACTTGGACCGGAGGCATCGATATCTCTGGCGACGGACGTATGGTGGTTACACGAGGAGGGGACGATCTGATCAAACTGTGGGATACGAGAAAATTTACGAAGCCATTGGTAACGGTGTCACATCCGTCTACCTCGAATGCTCATCCGACAAGCAATATTCGTTATGCGCCCAACTCGACGAGCATCATTACAGGCTCCGCCACGGGACATTTGCACATTCTAAATCCTGGGAATTTACAGCCCGAACACGTCACGCCTATTACGCCCGGATCACCTCTTATTACTGTGGATTGGCATCCCAAGATTAACCAGATTATTACCGGGTCCGCAAACGCGGAGACGCATGTTCTTTATAATCCAGACAAGTCGATAAGAGGAGCGGTGGAAGTCATGTCACGCGTCCCGAAGAAGCGACATATCGATGACAACTCTGCATTGACTACAGACCAGTCGATGGGTATGTCGGGCGATGCCATTATCACACCAGGCGCGGTGCCGAAGAAGAGCGGCACGGTCGGGGGCAGCTCAAAGGACCCACGCCGTCCACACGTACCGCAGCAGACACCTTTCCAGCGCAGCCAACCGGACGAGAAACACGTTGCGGAGAGCATACCGCTCGCGCAAATGCTTCACGAAGACCCTCGCGAAGCTTTGTTGAAGTATGCTGACAAGGCCAAGAATGATCCCATGTTTACCAAGGCCTGGAGTAAGACGCAACCAGAGACGCAGTATGCGAACATTAGTGATGAGGAAGAGGATGGCCACGATAAGAAGAGGGCCAAAAGGTGAAGAGGAAGCAAGATCAAGGTATACCCAAAAGCGCGCGACGAGCTGACATAAATGAGTCGCCGGATGTCGCCTTACTGAGACGCCCGATCTGTCGTATGGCGCCAACTTTCGTAACAAGACGAGGAGACGTGGGTCAGCGTATTTGCAGCCCATCTATATCAGGACAACATTGTCGCTGCTTGCAACTGCCAGGAGAATGCCGGCTTCCGTTGCCGACCCTGATGTCAGGTACAAAGCTACACTGGCATAAAGGTACACCAGTTGACAAGGCTATGCTAAAGCTCAAACGTCTTCCTAGATAGATCACGTGCTAGATGAGCTTATCTAATACATTTTTTTCTGCCCTCGGCAACCTGAGGCTGGGGCGAGTGGCACAGGATTTGGCCTGCGCATGGGCCGTGCTGAAAAATACTGTGGCTAGTGGCTGCACGAGGGCACCAGCCATCACGCCCCAACTCTGTGTCCTGTGTCTTCACCACCTCCCCATCATCAACCAGCGAGCGCGCGCATCCAAAAAATCGCCAGGTCCGTCGCAAACCATCGGCGTCCATCTCAAAATTCCCGGCTCCGTCGTGTTTCACGCGATTTAAACGCCGCCAGCGCTCGTGGCACCGTCCCCGACGCGCCGCATCGCCATTTCCACACTTTTCTTCCTTCTCTTGCTCTGGAAATCCCCCTTTGCTCGACGTTTTCGTCCGCCACGCCACGCGGTAGCCCATCATCAAAACCCGGAGCTCCAGCATCCCTGCCGCGCCCAACTCTTCACCATCCCCTTTACGCACCCTACCTATGCACCGTGGCAGTCGCCTCTAGATTTTCCTTCCTCGCCACGCCCAGCGCACCCTCATTGCCCCCAACGCGCGCTTTGCCCTGCCCTTCTTTTTTTTGCAGCCCTCTGCCGCGCCCGCCCACTACCGCGACACCGACGCATCTTGGCTCGCGACCTTCCTTTGCGACACGAGCTACAACGCCTCTGCCCGTCTCGATATGCAATAGATATAGAAGCGCAATCTATCAGCATCCGTTACAGTTCATAACAAACGCGTGTCTTTGCTATTCACGCAAATATGGCGTCTGTGCAAGCACCTCCTGGTGTTCAGCAGCACCCAGGGGGTCCTATGCCTACCGGCGCAACAAAGCAGCAGGCTGAAGAAGTCTTTCGGGTATGCTTACCAACGCGTTTCTTGTCGTTCTCACCACGGGAAATGCCCCTGCCGCCTCAATTGGCTCATCGCTAATCATTTTGACAGAAACTCAAGCAAATGAAGGACCAGGGTGTTCCTGCGTCCGACCCTGAATATATCAAAGCACACCAATTCCTCACGAGTTTTCAACAACAACACAACATGCGCCGCACCCAGCAGCAGATGATGCAACAACACCAGCAGCAGATGCAGAGCATGCCCAACGGCGCTGCCAACGGCGCTCAGGCCCAGCGTTCCCAACAAGGGACACCGCAACCCGGACAACCCGTGCTCAACACTTCAGGTATTACTGCTGCGGCGGCGGCTCCCAACGCTGTGGCTACGCCGACTGCTAGCGCTTCACCCGCCGCCGGCGCATCGAATCTCTTCAGTCAGCAGCAGCTTGCCCTTCTCAGGCAGCAAATTCATGCGTTCAAGTTACTTGGCAAAAATGCTGGCGTCTCTATGCAGCTGCAGCAAGCAATTTTTAATCAGCGCTTGCGTCGGCAGGCTATCATGGCTGATTCTCCAGTCTCTACCCCAACCAAGGGCCCTGCTGCTGACAATAAGGATGCTCCCAATGGTGGTGATGTGGCTGTCCAGGATGAGGCAGACCGAATGCCGAAGCAGCATGTCTATAAGGCGGTCAAGTCTCCTTACGGCACCAACATGGTCCGCCCAACCATCAACTATTTTGATCATACCCAGCGCAAGAACCGTTGGTTTATTCCTGGCATCTTCCCCACCGGTATCGATGCTGAGCATCTGCGATATGAACACGAAGTTGTTGTATTCAACCGCATGAGCCAGCGCTACGCGGAGCTGAAGAACATGCCCGCCAACATTGGCCATGTTGATGCCACCGACGACAACCTTGAGGTCCACGACGATCTCAAGAGACGCGCCATCATTGAGATGAAGAAGTTGGCACTGTATTCTAAACAGCGCCAACTACGTGAAAAGGTTGGCCGGCAGATGCTGCACTATGACAACTTGGCAATGACGACAAATCGTTCCAACTACCGTCGCATGAAGAAGCAGAACGTTCGCGAGGCTCGCATCACCGAGAAGTTGGAGAAGCAGCAGCGTGACGCTCGTGAGAACCGCGAAAAGAAGAAGCACTCCGACTTCTTGCGTGCCATCTACAACCACCGCGCCGAAATTCACGAAACTGCCAGCGGCCAGCGCACCAAGTTCCACAAGCTCAGCCGTCTCATGTACTCTCAGCACTTCAACATCGAGAAGGAAGAGCAGAAGCGTGTCGAGCGTACCGCCAAGCAGCGTCTCCAAGCTCTCAAGGCCAACGATGAAGAAGCCTATCTCAAACTGCTCGATCAAGCCAAAGATACTCGTATCACGCACTTGCTGCGCCAAACCGATGGTTTCTTGCATCAGCTTGCCTCGTCCGTCAAGGCACACAAAGGCAGGCTGCCGAGCGCTATGGCGACGACTCCGAGCAGTTTGCAGCCGAAGAATCTGAATCTGAGCCTGAAGAGGAGGATGAAGAGACAGGCGGAAAGAAGATCGACTACTATGCTGTTGCTCACAGAATTCGTGAGGAAGTTACTGAACAGGCCAACATGCTGATTGGTGGCAAGCTCAAGGAGTATCAGGTCAAGGGTCTTCAATGGATGATCTCACTCTACAACAATAACCTGAATGGTATCCTCGCAGACGAAATGGGTCTCGGAAAGACCATTCAAACTATCAGTCTGATTACATATCTCATTGAGCGCAAACAGCAGAGCGGACCATATCTCGTCATTGTTCCTCTGAGTACCCTCACTAACTGGAACCTCGAGTTCGAGAAGTGGGCGCCCGGCATCAGCCGCATTGTTTACAAGGGTCCTCCTAATGCTCGTAAGCAGCAGCAGGAAAAGATCCGCCAGGGTCGTTTCCAAGTTCTTTTGACCACGTACGAATACATTATCAAGGACCGACCAATCCTGAGCAAGATCAAATGGTTCCATATGATCATTGATGAAGGTCATCGCATGAAGAACAGCAACTCTAAGCTGAGTGCAACCATCCAGCAGTACTACAACACCCGTTTCCGCCTTATTCTTACTGGTACTCCGCTGCAGAATAATCTTTCTGAACTCTGGGCTATGCTCAATTTTGTCTTGCCAAACATCTTCAAGTCTGCTACGACATTCGATGAATGGTTCAATACTCCCTTTGCCAATACTGGTGGGCAAGACAAGATTGAACTTACAGAAGAAGAGCAAATCTTGGTTATTCGTCGTCTACACAAGGTGCTGCGACCATTCCTTCTGCGTCGTCTCAAAAAGGATGTCGAGAAGGATCTTCCTGACAAGACGGAAAAGGTCATCAAGTGCAAGTTCTCAGCTCTACAATCGAAGCTGTACAAGCAAATGGTTACCCACAACAAGATTGCCGTGGGCGACGGCAAGGGTGGAAAGACCGGTGCGCGTGGTCTCAGCAACATGATTATGCAGCTGCGAAAGCTTTGCAACCATCCGTTCGTTTTTAGCGAAGTTGAGAATGTCATGAATCCCCTCAGCATCAGCAACGATATCCTGTGGCGAACGGCGGGCAAGTTTGAGCTTCTGGACCGGATCCTGCCAAAGTACCAGGCAACAGGCCATCGTGTACTCATGTTCTTCCAGATGACTGCCATTATGGACATTATGGAGGACTATCTCCGCTACCGTCGCATGGAGTATCTCCGGCTCGACGGTACCACCAAGTCTGACGAGCGTTCGGATCTGCTACACGATTTCAACTCCCCTGATTCGAAGTATTTTGTTTTCTTGCTTTCCACCCGTGCCGGTGGTCTCGGTCTGAATCTGCAGACAGCCGATACTGTCATCATTTACGACTCGGATTGGAATCCTCATCAAGATTTGCAGGCCCAGGATCGTGCCCATCGTATCGGCCAGAAGAACGAAGTCAGAATTCTCCGTCTGATCAGCTCCAACTCGGTCGAGGAGAAGATCCTCGAGCGTGCTCGCTTCAAGTTGGACATGGATGGCAAGGTTATTCAGGCCGGTCGTTTTGATAACAAGTCGTCAGAAACTGACCGAGATGCCATGCTTCGAACTCTGTTGGAAACAGCTGATATGGCTGAGTCTGGCGAGCAAGAAGAGATGGAAGACGACGAGCTGAACATGCTTCTAGCACGTAGCGATGAAGAGATCATGAAGTTCCAGGCCATTGATGAGCAACGCGCAAGAGAATCCCCGTACGGCGGCTCCAAGGGCAAGCCCAGACTAATGGGTGAGGATGAGTTGCCCGAGATCTACCTGAGCGAGGGCAATCCTGCTCCTGACGAGACAGAGGATCTTGTTCTTGGCCGTGGTGCTCGTGAGCGAACCAAGGTCAAGTATGACGATGGCCTCACTGAGGAGCAGTGGCTCATGGCTGTTGATGATGATGAAGATTCACCAGAGGCAGCGGCACAGCGCAAGCAGGCTCGCAAAGACAAGCGCGAGTCTAAACAGAAGAAGTTGGGGATGGACGACTCTCCTGCCGCCAGTCGCGCCAGCACAGAAGAGATTGAGACACCGAAAAAGCGTGGTCGCAAGCCTGGTAGCAAAAACGAGAAGCGCAAGGCTGAAGACGGAGACGATGAGCCGCCTACTAAGAAACGCCGTGGCCCTCAAGGACGGCCTAGCAAGGGAAGCGCGAACGAGTCTCGTCTGAATCCTCAGCAGCGGCAGCTCCTGCAAAAGTGTCTACGATCTCTGTACGACGCCTTGATGGCTCTCGAGGTTGACGATATTGAACCGCCTGCCGAGGATGACGAATCTGACGCTGGCAAACGCCTCATTATTGGACCCTTCATCAAGCTGCCGCACAAGCGCGACTATGCCGATTACTACCTCATCATTACGAATCCCATCTGTATGAATCAAATTCAGACACGCATCAAGAAGGAAGAGTACAATGCTCTCAGCGATCTGAAGAAGGACTTTGACCTCATGATTCGCAACTGTCAAACGTACAATGAAGACGGTAGCATTCTGTATCAGGATGCCAAGACCATGGCTGAATTCTTTGTGGCAAAGTATCAAGAGCAGATGGAGACGTTCCCTGCACTGCAGGAACTTGAAGAGGGCGGCAAGGCTAGCTCTGTTGCTCCCTCGGCTGCCGAAAGCACGCCACAGCCGAGCGGCACTCGCATCAAGATCATCACAAACAGCGCGCGCGAGGCTAATGGGACGCGACCCGCTGGCCAGAGCGACGAGGAATAATGACAGTTGAGGAAAGGCAACGAACTGAAAAAAAAAAAGACAGCGCGGTGTATTATTGAACACGAGCCAAGGAAAAAATGGAGGGAAGTTTTGTATCCCTCGGCGGCGCAATACTGGCAAGGTTGACCTGGATTTTGGCCACGGCGATATAATTATATCGCACGACTGGATTTGTTCATATCTGTTTTGGCGTTTTGGGGATGCCACTTTTTTTTTCTTGCGTGATGCAAACATTCATGTACTGCAAGATGCGAGGCAAAGTCAAAGAGAGGTTCGTCGAGAGTGAAATTGCAGACGGGGAGTAAACTGAGGGAGCTTTGCGATGACGGAATCATACTAACGGGGTTTGCGAGGCTGCCTTTACGGGTTTTGTTTAGATTAGGAGCTAAATGTACTGTAATAGACGCTTCAAAGTCATTATTTGTGTCGTCACTTTGATGATGGTGAAGCGCCTTGTGGTATTGAGATGATAATTTACAAGTGTGACAAGTACACTTATTAAAGCGCCTACCTCCCTCTGGACTGGGCTGAATGGGTGGAACCCATAACGCTAATAAGCCACTGTAACGGCTTGGCTCCAGCATCTCGGTTTCGGCAACCCATCAGTGTTTCTACAAGACTTGGCCGAAGGCGACGGTACACGGCACGATGGCTAGGAAGACGCTTGTGTTGTGCTTTATTCACGGCTTCCGAGTATGTTTACATGGGAACGTTGGCCCCCCTCCCCGGCGCTCCTGCACCGGCGAAGTGGGTGGCGGCGGCGGCGGGATGACACTTTGCGGTTTGCAAGCTAATCGAGACTCTCTCTCTCTCTCTACCAGGGTGGCAACTTTACATTTGGACAAGATTATCGGTTTACAGAGCACCTGCGGGACATGGTCGCCAAGGAGCTGCCCAAGATTGACGTCAAGGTTCTGGTGTATCCCAAATATGAGACGCGCGGAGACCTTGGCGAGTGCGTGATGCGCTTCCGCACGTGGTGAGTGTTGATCTAAAGTCGGCCGTGGCGCAAGAGACATTTGTGCACAAGTCGCACGATATGAAAGCCAGCCATGCATGGGTTTGGTACTGACCCCCTTTCAAATCAAACAGGCTGGAAGAAAAAGTGATTGATTTGGAAGTCGCGGCGGGCACGCCGTCGCCCACCATCGACCCGTCAGTCCGGACCATTCTTGTCGGCCACTCCATGGGCGGCATCATGGCCGTCGAGTCGGTGCTGGGGATCGCCTCGGAGCAGCCCATCTACTCCCAGGACGGCATCCAAAAGTCCGAGATTCCCAACTTTAGCAGCCTGCTGTTTCCCTACGTGCAGGGCGTGCTGGCCTTTGACACGCCCTTTCTCGGCATCTCGCCCGGCGTCGTGGCGCACGGCGCCGAGGGCCACTACCAGGCCGCGTCCGCCACCATTGCCCAGCTGAGCGGCCTAGGCGCCAGCCTCTGGGGCGCGAACCAAGCCGCGACGACGAGGGTTTCGTCATCGAGAGCCATTGGCGCGCCCGCGCAGCAGCAGAAGCAAGGGTGGCCGGCGTGGGGCAAGGCAGCCATGATGGTCGGAGCCGCGGGGGCGGTGGCGGCGGGCGGGGCGGCGGCATGGCTCAACCGCGAGCAAATCGGCGAGGGCTTCTCGTCGGTGACGTCGCATCTCGAGTTTGTGGGATGCCTGGCGCGCGCCGAGGAGCTCAAGAAGCGCGTGCGGTGCATGGTGCAGCTGAGCGGCGAGATGCGGCTCGGGTTCGCAAACCTGTACACGAGGCTGGGCAAGGCGGCGGCGCCGAAGCAGACGAGCGTCGTGGGGACGGTCATGGGCAAGGACCGCACGTTTTGTAATGTGCCGACGGCGATGCCGGCGGGCGAGTGGAAGCCGGCGGTGAATGACAAGGCGACGGACGAGATTGGCGCACATACAGGTATGTTTTGATGAATGAGGAGGTGTAAATTTGGTCTGCAGAGCGGCTAATCGCAGGGGAAAATGCCCGGCTGGCAGCCATGTTTGAGGAGGATGAAAATCCAGGCTACGACACATTGCTGATTGATGCGGCGGCGCGTATCACTAGCTGGCTACACAATGACTGGTACGAGAGCAGCACGGAAGAGATACCCCAGGCCAATCAGGCGACTCCGGCATAGCGTCAGTACACGGCTGGCCAGAATTTGTGTACTTTGAGTGTTTATTACTAAAGGCCTCGGTTGTCATTACTATTGGGCTTTTTACTATATTTCTTCGTACTTGTACAGCGTGGGACGGCTCGAATTGGGTGCCGATTATGTTGGGCATCGTCGTTGATTATTGGGTCTTTTTGACGCTCTGCGCACCACCAAAGACCTTGGATCGCTGCTTCATCATGTACGTGTACAAAATATAGGACCCTATGGAAGCGAAATCGATTAGCATTGTCCTCACCTCTCAAACAAACAAACAAAAAAAAAAAAAAAAAGTCCTCTGCGAGGCAGAAAACGGAAGCTTACCAGGAACATAGATGGCGAGAATGGCGTAGAGAATGTACTTTTCCGGGCCCGGCAGAAACTTGGAGGTGATGAAGATGAGGGAGCACTCGGAAAAGATGCCGAGCGGGTAGAGGACGAAAAAGGTGTTGTAGCGCAAAAAGGTCAGGAACCAAGGCTGGAGGCCGACGAGGCTGGTGGCAAAGTACGAGTAGCGGATGACCTCGGTGACGGACCAGGCGAAAAGCATGGAGGCGTATGAGGGCGCCTGGGTGACAAAGGGGTAAGGATAGGTGATGGCCCAGACGAGGAGCAGGCGTGACATGACCTGCATGATGGTGGTGGCGACGGGCGCGCGGACGATTCCTAGGAAGAGAAAAGCAAGCAAGTTAGCATCTTTGAAAATGTTTGTTCTCGAGCTTTGGGTTTGTTGTTGCGTGGGCTTGTATTAGTTGAGTTGGACAAGAAGAAAAAAAAGAAAAAAAAAAAAAAACACGTACCGAAAAGAGAGTGCAGAATCTCGAGGCATGCGGCCGTCTGCGTCCAGCGCGTCCACTCGCCGACCTCAAAGTACGTGTAGGCGAAGCCAAAGTTGACGCAGGTCAGGACGGTGCGGTACAGGACCACGGACCAGGCGGCGGCGGACACGGCATTGTAAAGGACGAGGTAGCCCGTTCGGAGAGGCGACGAGGGAGCCATGGCGAATGACAATTGAGGGGCAACGTCGCGATCCGGGGGGGGAGGGGAGAGAGGGGGTTGGATGCGATCGACGGTGGTGCTGTTGAAGAAGAAGAAGAGATTGACGGACGATGAGGGAAGAGCTAGAGCTAGCTAGATTTGGGGTGTGGGACAGCAGATGATAAGTTGGGGTACTTTTTGTTGGCCTCGGCTGAGGTGCTAGGCAGAGGGGCCTGCTCCTCCAAACCGCATTATATTGAACCGGGAAATTGTAAAATATTCCGCTTTCTATCTTTTATGTGATTATGTACTTTGTTTCTTATTTTTGTGAACAGGTAGTAAACCTACCAATCTACCAACCACCAAAGGATTGGGACATGTGATAAAACTACACCATCCTGAACCTATTGATCGAACCTTTCTTAGTCAGAGCAAATTTACATTGAACCTGTACATTGCCGATATACAAAGTCTTTCTCATTTCGTTTCACTTCAAAACTCGGCATACTCGCCTCTGCACACCATTGCAGCTACAGACGCCGTGTTGAGGGGATGTCATGGTTGTCAACAGTCAACTGATAATAGACGGAAAGCTCGCCGCAACATCAGACAAGGACACCTGGCGTCATGAACATGATGAACAAAACATGCACGAGACTACAGCGCAGTCCTTTGGGTGTCTGCTGCTGCGCACCATTCATTCATACGATGCAGGCTGTCTATAGGATATGGTGGGGTAAAATACGACACATGTTAACCAGCATCAACTTCCTCTTTTAATTTCCTCTCTTCGCACATCTGTCTCAAAATCACATGCCCCCCCTTCAACATGGCAGACAGAAATACTCTTATTCGCAATTACAAACCGTCTCACTACAAGCTCTCTCTGAGAGACTTGGACTTTCAAGCATGGACGTATCAAGGCACCGTCAGGCAAGTCTGGCCTTGCCGTCTATACCGGACGGCATCACTAACTAAACCTCTCTATAGCATTGACTTGGAAATTACGCAGACAACAAGCAGTATTGCTTTGAATGCAGAGGAACTCAAGATTATCAATTCAGAACTTCTCGGCAGCAATAGCCAAGGGCCTCGGGTTCTGCAGTCGACTGCCTGCTATCAAAATGGCGACACCGTGACAATCTCGTTCAATGAAGAGCTTGTCGTCGCCAGATCCTACAAACTGGTCATCGAGTACAAGGGCCTTCTCAACGCACAGTCGACGGGATTTTACCGCGCGCAATACAAGGCGCTCTCCGAGCCACCCGCCTCGGTCGCGCGGGGCGAAAATGGCTCGCCTTGCATTATGTGTACGCAGTTTCAGCCTATTGGCGCGCGCCGCGCATTTCCATGCTTTGACGAGCCCAACATGAAGGCCACCTTTTCTCTGGATATCGAGCTGCCAGCCGACCAGACGGCCGTCAGCAACATGCCCGTCGCGACGACGACGACGATGGAAGAGACCACCACCGAGGGCCGCAAGCGAGTGAGCTTTGAGACGACGCCCGTCATGAGCACCTACCTGCTCGCTTGGGCCGTCGGCGACCTAAAGTACATTGAAACCTGGACAGAGCGCGAGTATCGCGGCAGCAAGATTCCTGTGCGATTCTATGCGACGGCCGGCCTGGAGCAGCAGGGCCGCTTTGCGATTGAAGAGGCGGTCAAAGTGATGGACTTTTTTTCAGAAACGTTTGACATTGAGTATCCGCTGGCAAAGATGGACCTTGTCGCCATTCCCGAGTTTTCTTTTGGAGCGATGGAGAACTGGGGCCTCATTGCTGGCAAAGCTAATATTGTGAGCGCTCATCTTTTTGAGCATTAGGTCTACCAGCATAGGTCTACAAGCTGACATTTGTCCGATAGTTAATTTTTGACGAAAAGACGAGCGCTTCAACCAAAAAAGAGTTGATATCATCCATTGTCTCCCACGAAGTAGCTCACCAGTGGTTTGGCAACCTGGTCACCATGGACTGGTGGGATGAGCTCTGGCTGAACGAGGGTTTCGCAACCTGGGCTGGCAACTACGCAGTCAATCATCTGCATCCTGACTGGAACATCTGGGAACGATTCATGAGCGAGGGCATGGAGGGCGCTCTGATACGGGATGCCATGCGGTCCTCGCACCCCATCCTGGCAGACGTTCCCGACGCGCGCAACGTGCACCAAGTGTTTGACCAAATCAGCTACCAAAAGAGCTGCGCGGTGCTCAACATGCTGGCGAATCACATGGGCGTGGACGCGTTTCTGTCCGGCGTGTCCAGTTACCTGAAGCAAAACAGGCACGGAAACGCCACGGCTGAGCATCTCTGGCGGGCTCTGGCCGAGGCCTCGGGCGACGACATTGTCGCCAACATTAAGCCGTGGATCGAAAAGACGGGACATCCAGTACTGACCGTCACCCACGAGGCTGGCCAGCTGATCCTGAGGCAGTCTCGCTTTCTGGCCGTCGACGACATGAAGCCCGAGGAAGACGAGACGGTTTGGTGGATTCCGCTTGGGCTCCGAAGCTTTGCTGAAAAGGAGGCGCCGATGATCAATCTGTCACTTTCAGAGAAGGAAATGGCCATGACTGCTCCGGGCCAACTGTACTTGTTCAACGGCTCTGGCACGGGCTTCTACCGCGTCGAGTACTCTCGAGACCACCTGACGAAACTCGGCCAGAAGCAGGACAAGCTGAGCGCCGTAGAAAAGCTCACCATTCTCAATTCGGCGTCGGCGCTGGCATTCTCTGGCTCCGGGTCCTCGGTGGTGGCGCTGCTGGGGTTCATGCAAGCCTTTGCCGACGAGACGAACCCGCAGGTATGGCTCAGGATGCTGCGCGACTTTTCGCGGCTCGGGCAGCGCTTCAACAATGATGCAGAGATTTTCCGGGGCATCCAAGCCCTGACAAGGTCCGTCACTGGCAGAATGGTGCAGAATCTCGGTTGGGAGCCGGCCGCGGGGGAGTCGCATCTGCGAGCGGAGCTTCGACGGAGCATCTTGGAAGCGGCCTTTCTCTGCGAGAGCCCCAGGTACGTTTGGGAGTCATTGCCTGAAGTCAATTTCGTGAGGCAGGTTTCTAAAACAAAAGTTTCTAGCGTCGAAGAAGCTGCTCTGCAGAAGAATATGATGTACGCCGCAGATCCGGATAAGCTCACCATTGATCCCTCACTGCTATATCTTGTATGGGCGGCCGGCGCCAGGGCCTCGCCCGCTGACGTCGTCCCGACTCTCATCGACCAGTGGCAGCAGTCTGCATCCACCGAATCCCGCGTGCGCTTCGTGCGGGCCGTGTGCATGGTGCAGGATCCCGACGTGCTGCGCCGCCTCGTCCTGCCCTTTATCTACGGCACGACGCCCGCGGGACGGGTGCTGCGGCCGACGGAGATGCGCCCGGCCATTATCATGCTGGCAAAGCAGTGGCCGGCGCGCCGTCTGCAGTGGGAGCACATCAAGACGCACTGGGAGGCGGTGGTGGCCAAGATGGGCACGTCAGAGGGGGTCGGCCGCGTGCTCGACGTGTGTCTCTCGGCCTGCACCGACGTGGCAGAGGCGGAGGATATCGATGCGTTTTTCGCGGAGAAGGATACGGAGGGGTTTGCGATGACGCTGGCCAAGGTCAAGGATGGCATTATGAATGTGAGCCGTTTCTGCGAGAGAGAACGCGCTTCCTTGGTGGCATGGATGCAGAAGCAAGGATATATGAAGCCGCAGCAATGAGAGCACAAACATATCATTTCCCCAAAAGAATCAATAAATAAATAAAAAATAATAATAAACAAATGGATTTCTGTAGAGAAGAAACTTGGGCAAAAGTTACACTCGACTTTCCATTTTACAGATGAAAAGAAAGAAAAAAAAAAAAAAAAAAAAAAAAACTAGCCGACCTAGTACGTAGGCAGCCAGTCGCTAGAAAG